TTCTAAAAGAAGTGAGAGAATGAGAAAGTTGCAGGCATCCTGGGAGTAAACTCAACAGATGCCAACTCCAAGGAATGGCCTCGACCAAAGAGGGTTAAGAAAGTTTTTTCCCCAGCAACTGAAACAGGAAGTGAGGGTTCCAATTATGCCATATCAAACCATTTACAAGTTAGCGATAAAATTTGGTTCAAATGATGCCTAAATAAACCTCATCCAAGACCAAGTGAGATGGCTGCTGACACGGTTTGCGATGATGGGAGAATAATTTTACCAAGAATGATCCGCATCCCTGTTTAATGAGACCGATACAACAACAGACCCACATTCGCATCAACTTTGAAATTCATGAAATTAGAAAATGTTAATAAGCCTCAAAGTCTACATATTTGTCATCCTCTGCACCGTTTAGGCATGCCAAATCCTTTTTTTTTGACCGAGTTGATTTCAAAATTTTTGCACTTTAAACCCAATTGCGTTGGCTCCACCGACAATCCCTTTATCGTCGGCGAAATAGGACAGGAAACGAAATGATTCAATGGAGAGGACGAAATTCATAGTTGCAGAAAAAAGGGACTGTCGAAATTAACTGAATTAAATCTCTGCCATTATTTTTGCATAGGAAATGCCTTGCATAGCTTCATCACTTTGATCAATCGCACTTCTATCTGAAGGTCAAGGTCGTTAAGGGGTAATAAAAATAAATTATTTGGCTGGGAAGTTGAATGTGTACTTTTAGGGCATAAACAATGAACGTCACCTAAAAAGCAAGTATGTAATTAAATAGAGAGCTGCAACTTACTGGTTGACGCTTGAGATTGACCGAAAAAGTTTTCCCTGAAAAGGCTATCTTCTCAACGTTTTCCCTAAAATAAAAAAAAGGATGCAATGAAACTCCCATGTGCACATTTTTTTATACATCCACGTGGAAACTTGTGCTCCTTGCAAGTTTTGCGTGTAAATAAAGTAAAATGTTACTGAGAGGTCAGACACTATGCTTTACCATCCGTAGAGAAGAATTCTCCGCACATCTCGAAACACACTGATTCCCTGAGCAGACACTCCAATTCGCAGCTTCGTTCGACTTCGATCCTGTCAACAATAAAAAAAGGTCCACTGCAGACAAATTTGGCATTCAACACATTAAAACTCAATGATACAGCAAACACAGAGAACGACACCCACCTCTACGGTTTGGCAGGCAAAACGGTGACGACAAAAGTGTTAGTAATTTGATCCCACTGAAAGAAAGTTGTGCACTAACTGCTCTGTGTTAAAGAAGTGTGCTCTAACGGGGTATGAAAAAGTAAATTTGCGAATGAACTGTAACTCCCCCCTTAAAATGTGGTGCTTGTAAACTTTTTCGCGGATTTGCATATTTGAAGGATTACGAGTATGGGATACAAATCACACCGCCATTGACAGCCATCACTTTACGATTAAACTAAGTTTACGATGTGCTAAACCGTCGAAGACTCGATTAGTTAAATAAACATTTAAGCAAGGAGGTTGAATCAACTGACAGCATTAAAAACATGATTCAAACCACTCTAGGGTACCATAATGAGGAGAATCTCTCAGTGTGAAACAAAACATTTAAGACTTTGTAATGGCTGGTTATAGTTCTTTGATGAACTAGGGCTCAGGTTGAGGATGCTCACAGATTCTCTCATTCACCGTTTTCGTGAGAAGGCGAGCCCCTCATACCGGTATGTCCTTCTGGTAACTGCGCCTTAGAAGAGGTAGAAGCCACCACGAACATAAGCTCCACTGATGACAGCTGCCTAAATATACCACTAAGGTTTATCTAGCTCTTCCAACAACACCTACCGCCGGGAAACACGATGGATGATCTGACACACAATACATCTGCCATTGACACCATCAATCAGACAAACATCCATCAATTTTAAATTCCACCGAAACCAACTCACGTTTTTACAAAGAAACAGAAAACCTAGAACCCATTCACATCAGAAGTGAACTCTTAAGGTCATCAGCGTTGTTTAAGCGAACCTCCAGATTACCATAGCAAAGACCATGTTACAATTTCAATTGGGCGATGTCAAGACTGAACCCAAATGGAAATTTGGCTCACTTCAACCTTGAAACTCAGTTGACCGACGAGAAACACTGCAATCCAAAACGATTCAGCCAATTTTAAAAGTGAAATGGTCAGTACTTACTGTCACCTCTTGTGGATGAATGCCGTAGAGTTCAAGGCGCCTTGCTATGTAGAGGTACTTTAACTCAGCCGTAGCTGGAACATAGGAGCTGTACGAAAAAAAAAGAGAGGAGAGGTTGGAGGAGCATTCTCGATGAAATTAAATGTGTGATTAAACAAAAGTGAGTAGTTACGCCAGAAACAACCAATCATTGCGGCAATTACTCAATTATTACTCCCGCCAGATCTTTACGACTGAAAGAGCACAGCACTTGAGCACTGGCACAGCATTGACGCCTTAACAGGAAGGAGCATAAAATTGTTAAAATGAAGCCTTAGTTTTGTTGTATTCGCCTCACTCTTACCGGAAAGACTTGTGTGCTTCAACGGCTTCAGCTTCAAAATCGGACGTTTGATTTGGCACCAGACGGATGTGATTCACGTAGCCCGGTTTGCATTCCTCTGTGGAATAGTCGCCAAGCTCGCCTAGATTGTCGAAAAGACACGATTATCAATATCAAACTTTTGAGAGACCCAAGTTTCTACATTTGAAGAAAGGTCATTAAATGATAACGAAGATTGTCCATGAGGACTTAAATACGCAAATTTAAGCCTTCCGAACAACCTCTCTGCTTCGCATTCGTTGTGATGATGGACAATTCCACAGCCCCTAGATGGTTAACAAGAACCCGCCTGATGTTTTGCAAGGGGACTCAGATCCTATTAATTCACCTATTTCGCCTTTTGGTGAAGATGCTTTATTGCTGTCAAGCTTGAGTGCTTAAATAAACAAAAAGATGCAGGAGTCAAAGGTCAAGGTATGTAGTTAGGCTAGGAAGTCAAGTATTTCACCCTCAATTATGCTTTAGACAATCAAGCCTTTGAAGCTGGCTACAATATTCTTCGGCAGGCATTGTGGAGGTCACTACTAGATACGAATCATGTGAAATTGATTGAATTGTCATGTGAACAACTGTCAAGTAAATGCTAATTCTTAGTCAACGCCTTTCTTCTCAGAGCTGCAAGCATAGCAGTAGAACGCCCCCACTTACTCTGAAGGCAAAGACCAGCCATTTTCGCTAAAATGGGAGCCGGTGCTACCAAGGTGCCATTGAGCACGTCCTTTCGCACTTGAAGGTAAACCAAGTACCTAAAAGTAGCAAATTTTTTTACCACCTAAAAGTCAAGCTGTACTGTCAGCCAAGAGGATTGGTGAGATTTGGCTAACTCGATGAGCTAACACATTATGAGGGGTCATAGCAGTGACTTTGACCTGAGAGGAGGAGGTCAGCACCTTATAAAATCTACGGGTGAACTAGACAATCTGCAAGTTGTCGTCTTGCCGCCTTCTAGCCTTCTTTCCCTTCTTGGCATGTGTTGCTTTGACGAAATGTTGACTAGTTAAATATGTATGGACGCTTTACTCTACAAATGGATGCACTCTGTCACCTTGTCAAGGTGTACTTGAGACATCACAGCTGAAGGTAAAGACAGTTTTGGGTACCTTCTTTCGAACTGATGAAATAGCATTAGGAGGGTAGGGAGGTTGGCACACCAAACACAGTCCCAAGAAATTAACACAAATAATCCAAATGCCAATTTTTATGCAGTAGAGGCTCTGTTTATTAATAATAAGTATCCACAGATCGAAAAGCCTGCTTACTGAGCACAATCGAGAGGGCTAGCATTAAATGCTATCGCATGCACTCTGGACTAGGTTTGTACTTTTCATGACATTTTTGATGCAAAAATAGTCTTTTCTACTGTCCATGAAGGGATAAGTAATAGGCACTCGAAATTGAAATACCTTGTAAATTCTTCTTGCAGCCAAAGTGGATCAGGGACGTAGAATTTCACCCGAAGCCACAAAGTATGCGTAGTCGTACCTGTGAAAAGAGAAGGAATGAGTCGAATATCAGTCAGTTCAAAATTGACAAGATGCCTAGGTTAGTACATGGTTGCGGTAGTTTGTTTAACCTTGACAATTTACTATAAGAGTGGGTTTATTTTCACTTGGAAAGGGGATGAGGAAGGAAGGAGGTTGTGAAAGATTAGATGGATGGATGGATGGATGAAGACACAAACAAACAGTAATCTATTGAGAAGCAATGATGAGATAGAAAGGTCAGTAGTTAGGACCAACAACTATTTCATGATGTTCACACTTTAACGACAACCTATTTCTGATTGGTACATCAGAAAATTTGTTTGCTAAGGTCATCAAATAACATGTCGTAGTGACTGGTCAAGAAGTGTGCGATTTATGACCACCAGTCATGAGCCAACTCACCAAATTCGTAGACCAAGACATGACTTGCGAGTATCCAAACTCAATGCTTTATCATCCGATAATATTAGCAGTGAATGAGTTGCCTCCCTGTTTGTCATTTACTCGAGTCCCCACGTATGTCAGGTGTGGCTCTGTTTTCCTTATATTTTCACTCTATTTCAAGTTACTTCCTTGTAAGTTGGGAGTGACAGAGCTGTGAGAGACAGCTACTTTACTGCCCAATCAATCCACCGTAACTAGAACTGACTGACGTTTACATCACCGAGTGATTATGCAAAGATAAGTGAGTGACTACAACAGTTCAAGTGTTAGTGGACGACTACAACGACGTAGCTCGCAATCACAGCCATATACTCACCTCTCTGATTATAAGTGTCTGCCTGTGTGTGTGCGTCATGGGCCAGTGATTTGGCACAGTTCCGTTGCGTGTAACCACTAGGCGTATGTGCTCATGCAATCCATTTGACACCCTGCGTACACAAACGTTTCTCTGCTTTTGGAATGTCCACTCCATCCAAGCACTGCTGAAAGCTCTACTGCCTAATATAACAGGGACATGTACTACTTCGATAGCCATTTAGCGCGTAACTGATAAGGTGGGGCAGAGGGCAGCAAATATGTCCTCTACAAAGCTATCAAGGCAAAAAGCCAACTCTTAACCCCATTTGCATAATGTAGGCCTGAATAATGGCCAATCCTTCCAAATGTAGCCTAACCAGAAAAGTTCAGGCGCACTTACCCTTCAATTGCTTTTTTAGCGTCTTCTTGGGTTCCAACCACCGCTAAAAGGTTAGGAATAAGTAGGCTTTCACAAAGAGATATTCAAAACGTTGGTAGCTTTTGAATAAGCTCACCAAAAGAGGACCAGGATTGCAATTAAAATCATTATATTGCAGACCAAAGAAGTCACGTTCAAGGAGTTCGAGGAAATCGAAGACTAGATCAATGAGTACCTGACCACAGGCATTCTTCTGAAGCAAAATAAAAAGCAGTAGACTGATATGTGTGCTGACTACATTTGTGCAGGTGCAGGTATGTAAAAACGTGAGAGAGATTGGACTTGACTCAGTGCTTTTATTTTGCCACTCATGACGAAGTCATACCCGCCTATTCAAAGAGGTGGATCGATGCAAAGCATGAATCTGTAAACTAAATTACTTTTATGCACACAGGCAACAGAATGCAACATACATCAAGTTTAAAGAGTTCGGACTTGTCGTCCAAGAAAATGACGTTGCACGTGATTGGTTTGAAGGGCAATCGGTAAGTAGGATTTTCCGCTGCGGAAACACTGTAGCTCCCTTTCAGTCGTAGAGTCATTTCAGGATAGTCTCATGGTTCTGTGCAATCGAAATGGCTTTTAAATGCCTTGAGCAGAAAATTCCCCTATCAATGCAAGAGATATGGATATTATCGTGACACTGAAATTTGAACTGATCAATTGTTTCGAACGAACGATAAAACTAATAAGTAAAACAAGCCTCAAATATTATTGGTTAAGGCAGGTGAGGTAGGAGGAGCCGAAACAGATAGGATGTGGTAGAGGTGTGAGACGTTCACAAAATTATGCACCCAAGATACGGAGATCAATTGATCATAAAATCTGAACTGAGGAGGCATCAAGACTGTGCACTATCAATGGGAAGTACTTGGTCATGCAGTTTCCTATCGATGACTGAGAAACGCAAATTAAATAGATGCTCAATTGATAATGAATTGTGATAAAGGAAATTTCACATGCACGTACATAACCAATGAATCAAACTAAAATTAGATGAAATCCGAATGCCGACCAGTTTTGCATAATAAGGAAACAAGTGATTGCTCGCGCAAACGAAACAATTACGTAGAGATATGATCTGCACTCATAATGACTTCAGATACTTGGTGAAAGGGGTGATAAAAGTTTTAAGTAGCTAGAAAGTATTTTAACAGAATTAAAATGAAAATCCTTGGAAAAGACGAAGCATATTTGACAAAACATAAATGAACAGTCCCTATAATAACTTTTAGGGAAAAGGAACCGCTGCCTCAATATACTTCTGCATACATGTAATTACTGTTAACTCAAAAATACAAGGCCACAGATATCATTACTCAACTATAAATATAACTGAAAATAGATAAGACAAATGATGTAATCCGTCAAACGCATAGATCGCTACATAAATCTGAATCAGCAGATTATGTCAAGGAACATACGCGAAATGCTAGAACACCCACGACGTCGAGGCAACAGCGACGACCAATAAATTTAAAAGCGTTACTGTTTACACAGGAGAGCTAAAATACCATAATGAGCATACCATAAGATTCGCGATATACATTGAGCTCTAATCTTACCAAAACAGAATTCTAAACGTAATCAAGCATATTAAGATAGAAGAAAGGATAAACAAATCGCATTGACTGAGGGACACATTACAATTACAAAGTGCGGACAACGCCTGTGTCAAAAGAGCCACTTTTTATTTTAATTGCGGTACTTGAATTCGATTACTTACTAACCCAATTCAACCAACTAAAAGATTCAAAAATGCATTTAACACTACTGTGTAGATAAGAAACTTTCGCAGACGCGTCTGTAGTGCCCCTAGACTTTCCATTAGGTAGTTTAAGGTATTAATTTTGACAGTTAAGGAGAATAAAAATAAGGACTTGGCTTGGCCAGACCCGTGAACAATAGTAGCAGAAACCTCAAAACAGCTCTGAGGCATCCGATAGTTACAAACAAACATTGCAGCACTCATGCTTGCAGCACAAGTGCTAAAGATCTCTTTTTTCGTTTGAGAGACATTGTTGACGCTGCTGTCTCGTGAGTATTCGCGTCAGCGATGGCGTCGTAAGTGTAGCTGTAATACTTTGTTTATGTGACTATCTGCCGTTTGGCGGTCACTTTAGAACTTGTCTGGGCTCTGTACACGTGGGCTGGCCTTCGAGCCACGCTCAGGCCTCATTTCTCCTAGTTTTCGGAATACATATATTCAGCCTCACTTATGCCTTCTACTACCCCATTGGAAGCCTCGGGACGCTATAGTGGCATATACGAGCGAGCCACGACATTCACCCATTCCGATGTGATCTAGTAGTGTTACTCGACCTCAGCAGCTCTACAATGATCTAAAGTCCCGCTTAACTTGAATACAAAGGTCAAAATGCAGTGAATTCATTAATCGTCATGTGTCAGGTCCTAGCTGTTGGGAGACTGGCCTAAACTAAATACGTAGGAGAGACTTTGAGATCTAACACGGCCCCAAGTAAAGAAGTTAGATGAAGTGTCACTGCTGATATCTATTTGCACATAGGTTTGGGCAGTTAAACATCAAATCTTATCAATATGTGTGACGACCACTGTAACTTATTTTATTATAATCGTACCAGGGGAATTAAGGTATCGAGTAGATTCGGTTGGTGGAGGTCATTATAGGCATTTCTGTTACCACGAAGTTAGAAATTCTAGGTCAGGGGCAAACGGTGTTAATTAACACCACAATGCTTCCAACGTCTCATTAGCCCTTCGATGACACCATCGTAGCAAGCCGAGACAAGACACTTGTGAATAGCAGTTATGCAGTTTATGCATTTAGGCAGAGGAGAAAGAGGAACAGTTTTGGCAAAGACGTATAATTAACCAGCTAAGCAGCTGACTTTGCTTACTTGTTTATTTGACCACCTGTATGATTAGCGGTCACCTTGTTTTTTACTTCTTCGTGGTTGCGTAAACTGACCTTTATGCCTAATAAAAGGCAGCGTCTCCCAATTATTCTTTTTAACATGTTGTTGCTCATCTAATACATTATCCTGCCAAATGAGAAGTCATTGGACCTTACACTGGTAACTACAGCGACCTCCATGCAATATATAAGGTAAAATAGATAGTTTTGCAGAACTAAGGTCCAGTAGTTTAGTTAGTTACGTGCATTAAACAGAATTAAAACATTGGGACTTCTAAAAGCCCATACTAAGGCAAAATGGCACCAAATGGCCATAAACAGTGGCTGAGAGTCAAAGCATCCCTAAACATATGGGTATACCAACCCTCATTTGTGTTTCTCTAGAAAAATTGGTCAGTTACAATTAAGGGCGAAAATAGTGAACAAAGCGGTTGCCTAGTTTGGTTTACTAATATGAAACAAAGTGTCTTGAGGGCAGTAAATGCATTTCAACCTAATGGTTTACGAATTTATAAAGACGTTTTCAGGTCTCATTGAAATAAAATTTTATTTTAAAAATTTAACGATTTTTAATTTATTGTTCGCAGACACTAGTATTTTACCTTTGTATATTCATAAATTACCAAATTTCCCATGATACAAAATTTGATCATCTGCCCTTGAGACCATATATGTTTAGATCATTTGGCGACTTCGCCGACATTTGAAGGGTGTTAAGCGCATATGTAGGAAGTGCTTATGGCTTATTTCAGAAACCTTTTTTTCATGCTGTCTGCGACGGCACCTACTATGAGTTATTTCGGTGTAACACGCCTTTTTTGTTCCACCTCATTGCATCAAAATGATCAAAGAAGTTGCGTACGTACGCTCTTACAATAAATCTAACTCACGGTAGAATACCTCTAAGTACGACCAACACTTCCGACGTTTTGCTTCACGTGAATATAGTGGTGTTTTGTACATGACTCCAAATGACTTTCTGCAATCCCTTTTTCAGGAAAAGCCTCCTTGTACATTCTATCTTAAGTGATTTGTATTTATAGCAATCCAATTAAACTCGCTTTCGGCTGCTGATGTGAGAAAAATTTTGGAAAAATCCGTTCGATGCGGATCATCCGATCTTTTTCGAAAACTTGGGAACCAGGGACTTATTTCCTTTACGGATTATTTGTTTCTGTTGGGGTTGCTCAATAGTAACATGTTGAACAAATAACTGTATTCTGATTAGAGCCGAGCTCCAGATTTGAAGTTGCTTTCAACGTTCTTGATGCGGATTCGAACGGAGAAATTGATGCAGATGAGTTTTCCTTGGTAAGAGTTATTGTTTCTAACCTTTACTCGAATCAGCTCTATGGCGTCTCCGCTGGCGTACCTAGTCAAATGCAATCAAGCCATGACCACCTTTCATTAGTATGCCTCATTTCAATCTGACAGTTTTCAACAGTATCCTCAAGGCAACCTTTCTGACCAGTCCACCCTTATGCGAATTTTTTTTGGGAAAGATGGGAAACGAATGTTGAAGAAGGATGAGTTCTACAAGTATGTCATTTTTGAACTTTCATTAGTCATAGATTTGTTGAAAACTTACAAGATGAGATCCTTGAAGTCGAATTTACTCTCTCCTCCTCAAACGGTGTGACTATCTCCCCCACGAATTTTGCTCGGGTACTGCTCCACAACACTGATCTTCCTGAATCACGATATGATGAATTCCTATCGAGATTAAGTCGACTTCCGACAGACACAGAGGTTTGATTTTATCGTATTTAATGAAGAAACCTTAGATCACGCTTGAGGATTTTAAAGGGTTCTACAAATTCATGAATCACCTTGACGACTTCCGTATGGCCATGAAGATGTACACGCTAGCCAATAGGCCCATTTCTCAAGGTATGAAATTTCACTTTAAATATGTTTTTTTCGAAGCTGAATTTAGACAGGCTATTCGCGTTTGTGCCAACCTGGAGATTGGAGACCAGGCTCTGCAAACGCTCTTCTGTATGTTCGACTCTGATGGTGACGGCCACATTAGTCCAGAGGAGTTCATGGTTTTATTCAGGAATATGCGACCCCGAGGAATTCACAAAGTACGCCCCATCTAATGTGTACATATGTCGATTTCATTCAATAAGTAGTAAATACATTTGTTTCCCGCGTCAAAGAAAGGCTTTCATTGACGCTGTTACTGCTAGGTTTATTTTTGCTCCATTGTAGAATGCTGATTTTACGAGAGGTATTTGGGAGGACTACAAAAAGTGCGTGGGACGCGCAATACGAGAGTATTAAATCCCATTCAACCCTCCTAAAAAATAGGCTTTTAGGTACTGCTATACACTGTTCATCCTCTATTGCTACTTATCTGTGATATTTAGTTGCACTCAATAAAACATGTTTGCTTTGAAAAAATGCCTGCTTTGTTCAACCACGAATCGCTTTCTCAAACCATTGATAGGCAAAAGCACTCTCATAAAAGCAATAACTGCAATCTCGAAGAGGATTTCCCCCGTAGTTAAATGCTATCACTATTCAGTGTTAAGGAAGCAGAGGATCGATCTGGTCAAACTACATCCACCCAATCACAAATTTGCCATCAGCCAAAACCAATTAAGAATGCAAAGGTGATTTTATTACTACGACGCTGCTTACAAGTTGTAGGTGTTAAAAGGTTAGAAATATAAAGAAGGAGGAGTAGAGTGGAGTGGATGGGCAGGCAGATGGACACCACGATAGGTGAACAGATAGCATGGCTGCAAATATGAGAGGATGATGCAATGCAGGTAAGGAGAGACACAACAAAAAAATAAACTAAACCTGTGAGACTACTCTAAATATCGTCTCTTGTGAAATGCACCTCATTGTAGGCCTCTGTCCTCCTCCATAGGACAGCGACGGCCACCAAGGTCATGGCAGTTGGTGTGACAAAGGCGATGGCACTGTGCAGGCGTGTGAAAACCTGCTTAAGTGGATTCGGTCGCACGGAGTGGGTAAGCACTGTAGGACACTCGTCTTGTACGGTTCTACGGGATTGCCTCCCCAATGCGTCTCACAGCCCCACCACCTTGTACAAGCATCGCATCTATGCCACGCAACGATCACCTCACACCAACATTCCGCTTGACTGCCACCACCACCAACAACACACACACACACACATCAGACACACGATTGGCGGAGCAGACTGTGCACATGAGTGGCGAGAGTGCAGGAGGTGAGAATAAGTGTTTGCATGACCGACGCCAATGGCACTGCTGCGTGTAACGAGGTCGAACGTGAACGCTACAATGCGAAGAAGGCTACTGAGACGCAAACATCTGCTCTGTTAACCCACATCCCAGTCACCTCTGTTGATATGCCTCGAAGGAAGGACAGTGTCGACGAAGCCACCTTCTCCACACACCGCACATCACACACTCTCGTCCTACTCCTGCTGCCTTCAAACTCGTCACCAACCAAGTCTAGCTACGCTACCGTTGAAGAGTCAATTGCAAGGCATCAACTCCAACACAAACTGACAATAATGGCCACAGTCGAATGCAGAGTCATTGTTGGGTGGCACACCAGCTCCAGACGATTGCAGTGCTCATCGCATGGAGCACCAGTGTATGCAATGGTGTCGTACTGAACGATTGAATGGATTGCCGAGTGTTGTCTGAGGAAAGTGTGTGGGGATCTTCCTTTGAAATTCACCTTGCATATAGTGGTGGTGCAGCATTAAAGCCCTCACACTATCAACGATTCGCAAAATTCTCCACCCCAAAAAACGAAGTGCAGTTGCACCGATGGAATGTCCACTTTCCGCGCCTCCTCCTCCTCCTCCTCCTCCTCTCGATTCTCAGATTCTGCCTTTCGTCAAATACTACGGTATTCCAGGATGGATGTGCCTCGTGACAATGGCATTGGAAGGGTGCGCGCAACGCCTTCCCATGCCACAAAGATGAGTGGTCCAATGTGTATCGGCACATGAGACTGCAATGAGGAAA